TATAAACATATACAGCCGGGACTGCCCAACTAGCCGGAGGCTATTATAAAGGACTAGCCCTCACCACAAGAACATATTTAACAGTTCGTAACAGGTAACATTAAACAGTGTCGGTTACACTTCAAATAAACATACTATTACATAATTGATGTATAACAATTATTCTATTCATTCGATCTTTCATATAAATTAATGCATCTGTCCATTTAGGAAAAGTTTTGCCATGTTCTTACTGTTTTCACAGTGATGTCCTCTCTACCCTGGTGAGCATGCGCACTTATACCCATCTGTGGTCACGTGACATGTTCCGTTGTTCTGACACGGGTCAGAGGCACAGTTGTCTGGGGAAAATGTCATTCGATTACTACTTAATCAACGCATCTTCTTGTGCTATGGTATATTTAAGAGTTTTTGCATGGTAGGCTCTTCGGTAATATGATATAGCTCTGTTATATATATAGTTCAAGTGCACGTTAAAAGCAATATAAAAAAATTGTTGAATGTGGCATCGATAGTTTCAGTAACGTTATAACTCACGTATGTCACAGTCCTGTCCCCCCCACCCCGGACCACACACACAGCTGTAGGTACTGACTCCGTCCACACAGGTGGCGTTATTTTTACAGGGCTTCGCTTCACATTCATCTGTGTCTGTGGTGAAAATATTGATGTCAAAGTCGTCGTTAGAAGTACAGTACACACTACCATTGCTGCATGCAACAGTGACTGTGTTTTAATACTACTGAAAATAACCGTTGAGTCTTTGCAATGACACATTTCACAGTGATTTACAGTAATGCCTTACTGATTTCACAGCGAAGACCTTCCCAGCCAGACTGACAGTCGCACCTGTAGCCATTCAGAAGATTGTGGCATTTTACTGCATTCTCACACGGGTTGGACAGGCACTCGTCAACCTCTGTTAAAAGATTACATAAAAAAAAACATCAAATACGTATCTCTATTACTTTTACTGATTTGCAAATCATTTTGGACTAAAAATGTAAAAAAAAACAGCAGGAAGCTTATGTCAACTAAGTTGAGAATAGCCAGTCTAAACATAATGAGAAAACAAACAAAGAGGAACAACTCTCACCAGCCTCACAGTTAGGCCCCTCCCACCCAGGCTCACACAGGCATGTATATTCACGGTGTCCATCCACGCACTGCCCTGCGTTCTGACATGGACTGGACATGCATTCGTCTGTATCTGTGGCGAAACAAGAATACTGTCATCGGAACAGACTAGTGATAATAGTTAAACTAAGGGGGAGGAGACGAAATTTGTCCTAAAATGCATCCCTTTACTTTTTACAGTATTTTAAAGTGCATATGACACCAAAAAAAGTCCATAAAATACATACAAATATCGGAAGTGTACAATATAGTCACTTGAAGTTTGTTCCAATCATGATGACTGAGAAATCGAGCTTGTATGGCCATCTAAAAGTGGATTTTTGGAGACTCTCTAGCAAGCTTCCCAATTGTCCACTTCGGGAATCTCTATTTGCATATCTGTGTTTTATTTTTGCATTTCTGTCAAATACAATCAGCAAAGGTCATATTTTGGTGTCATGTGCACTTTAAAGTATACCAACCGTGAAATATCTGGATTATGAAGCTGCAGTACTCACCGATGTCGCAGTCCTTCCCCTCCCAGCCTGCAGCGCACTGACAGGTGTAGTCGTACTGTCCGCCATGACAGGTGGCGTTGTTTTTACACGGAGAGGAGGAACACCTGTTGATCTCTGTCAAAACATCGAAAGAAGGATGGTTTGTTGTTACATATCATCCTCTTTTATCCATCTGGCCGCTGTATGATCTTAAAAATCTTTTTGTGGTTTGGCCTACTCTAAGACATTGATAAGTATTATAGATTGCACTGGAAAGTCTTCTGCAGTTTTACTTAGGATAAAATGGTACACTTTATGGCTCGATACTTATATTTAAGATGGAACTTTACCGTAGCATTACTGAAAAAAATACAGAAAAGGTACAGTGCCAACAACAACACAACAACAACACAAACGCAGTGTCATCTGTTATAAAACGACATGTAGACATACCGATGTCGCAGTCCCTGCCCTCCCACCCCGGCTGACAGTCGCACGTGTAGCGGTTCAGCCCGTCACGGCAGGTCCCACCGTTCTGACACGGGTTAGACGCACATTCGTCTGCAACTAGAGGGTAAGAGGAATACAAACAGTCATTCTTGTAAGCCACATGTCTGCATAGATCTTTAACAATGGCAGGCCATCAAAACATACGTATTGATTTCTTGACATTCTATCTTACTATATCATGGGTGCAAGGTACACTCTACGGAATAAGATTGTCCAGTCGAATGCATCGTTTGATCATTCGCATTCGCAAACTGATGGAATTCGTCGGATAGTCGTGTGTATGTGGTGCAAATTTCAGCTGTGTTGGGATGGAAAAGACGGTGACCATCTTACATGTAAATCTTTGTCTGTGGTAAGTTCTTTCACCAGCTATGTGAAAATCATTCTATATCAAACTCGCACGACATCGTACGACAAAATGTGAAAGTTCGTAAAACTTCGTCCTACCTGTACACCTGACTCCGGCCGCGAACTTGCCTCTACACGCCGTGGTGTCAAAGTCATGGCGGCACTCCTGGAGGGACTGTTCACTTCCCGTACATTCCACATCGCTCAGAGAAAATTCTGGACTAAAGTAGTCCCCAAAATTAGCTGCAGCCTTCCTATAGGACCTGTAATAGATAATATAGTACCATTGACGATATCTGTGCAACTTTATGTAGCTACATTGTGACATGTCATGTACAAGCTCTGTGCGTACTACAACACACATATATCGAAATTCTGTAAAAGTGGCAAATCAGATAAATATAAAGAAGGACGATAAAGTCAATATGTTGTTATCCTGTACCAGTAGTAGTGACAGTGTCTTTAGCACTGTAGTATTGTTGATTCTTTTTTGCACATTTTTGAACATAAAAACAAATCATTTTGCCGTAAATGGTAAAGAGAATATGCAAGAAGGGAAACCAAAAACCTCAAAGGTTTATAGAGGGTTTATTATGATCATGACAAATACTGATCATAGTAGCTCTATGCTGCGATATTTTGCTGAGAAGATGCAGAAATATTTTACCTGGTCGCGCCGCCGTACCCGAGGTATCTGCACACCACGTTAGCCTCAGGCATGCCCCAGTTCCTGTCACAGATCCTGCCCCACTCCCCGCCAATTTTTACCTCCACTACACCCTTGGCCATGACGTGATGTCGCTTGTGCCTTCTGCCATGTGCACTTTTAGGGTGGAAGATACGCACTGCGGTGTACATATATATAGAATTATAACCTCTTAACATCATTAACAGAACAGCAAGCTGGCTGCCGTTTCAGCTCAGAATTCGAAATTCGACACTTTTTTTTTGAAATTGTAAATATTCAAATATTAGTTTGCAATGAGCAAATTCGATTAAGGAAAAACAGACCCACATTACAAAGGTTCCATTTTCCTGCACAGAATGAACAGCCCATATTCATGGGCACACATGATAGCATGGAAAATATTGGTCTTATGCATACGTGTACATAATTATATATGATTGACTTTAAGCGGTATTTACCTTCCCATTTCACCGCAGAAGACACATCGTCTGATCGTTTTCCCCTCGCCATGTTTAGGTGGAGATTGGGTGACAGTTGGAGGGCTACCGTCTGTTGCTAGAATTACACATTAGAATAACACTCTTATTGGGGAAATAACCTGTTGGCATTACTGTGTAAACTTTGTTTACAGAAAGATATTAGACCATAAAAGAAGTTGATACTTGAATCATGACCCTTGAATTCTGACTAGGAGAAAATTTGACGGAAACAAGTTATGGGGTTGACACACATTCATTTGCAACAAGTCGTCGTTCATTGCTTTCATTTTCGAAGAGCACCAGTTTGAAATTTCATATTCATGACAACATGTCACCCTCTTACAGAAGTACTGACATACTAGTGCCTGTTCATTGTCAGGCCGTTGTTCCCAACTCTGTTCAAACTTCTCGATGCCACCGTGGTCTTGTTTAGCAGTCTCGCTGACTAACTGTACAGGGTTGCCACACTGCAAAGCCAGTTGGCCCTCAACATATGCCAGGCGCCTGGCTAGGTGAATGTACCCCATGCCATTCAACGCGAAAAACACGAAGAACAACAACAACAGCACAGAAAAGGTGCTGTCGTGTTTGCTGTGTTTTGCCCTTGTCTCGGCACCCTCGTAGAACTGCGCATCTTGTTTTGCAGAGTTTTCCAGGATCCATGTTCACGGAAAGGTAGTGTAACGTTTTCTGTTTCCGAATGCAGCTGTCTGTCCATGCCGTGAGCGCGACCGTCCCCAGCAAGCCTCAGCGACTACCTCACAAAGTGGGCGTGCGTTCAAAACAGCCGTCTGAATATGCACGACAGACGTTTAAGTTCAGTTGAAGAAACCAAAGTTTGCCGCCTTAAACACAATGTATACACTTCCAGTCTCGGTATAGACCTCTGGAACACAGGTCACCAAGGATACGACGACTAGGTACAAGATTTCTGAAAAAAGAGTTACCTGGTTGCCCCGCAAGGGTTTGGCTTATTGTGCAACACCTTTAGAGGCGTGGCAAAGGCGTAGGTAATTATATAAACAGACAGCGTATTTTTTTACCTTCCCGCCATCCACTGCGCTGGTGGTTCACAGAGACCCTGTCAGCCGTAGCCAATATGCAGAAGCCACAGTAAACGCCTGGAGGTCACAACTACCCTGTGACAAGTGTAACCAATAGGCGATGGGTTTCTTGTCGATGTCGATTGTCAACTACCCTGTGACAAGTGTAACCAATAGGCGATGGGCTTTCTTGTCGATGTCGATTGTCAACTACCCTGTGACAAGTATAACCAATAGGCGATGGGCTTTCTTCAACTGTGGTGACACATGACACTAGAAAGACAACATTGAGTCTGGCACGCCACCAAAACGCCAAAAGGTTATCGGTTATCCACCTGTGCACCACTTTGCGAACAAACACCAACCTGTTGAGGTGAGATATCTTGCTACAGTTCCTAAGCATTCGTATTTACGTCTTCTGTACTTTACCTTGACTTTTGGTCCAGCGTAGAGACCTGTTAATGTATAAAATTACCGTCAAATGCTACTGAACAGTTCATAGGGATGTTCAGATCATGTGGGCATGAAGTTAGAAAGAGGAAGTTAGTGGAGTTCGGCGCCATCTTGAATTTTTATGACAACCGTTTATAAATATGACTTGATACCACTTTTAACAGCTTGGGATTCTTACAAAACTTTTCTCTTTTTCTACAGGAATCCTGTCAGCTCACTTGAACCACGGTACCAAAGGTAAAATGTCCAGGTGGTCTAAGTACTGGCTTCTCGTGTTCGTGGCTTCGTCTGTGTCGTTGTGTGTTTCTAGCTGTCCTGTGGGCTGCACTTGTACTGAATATTTGAATGTCGACTGCAGCGGGAATGGCTCAACATCCGTTCCCAATAAACTGCCACTGAACACAACCTACCTCACACTAACGGGATACAGACTACCTGTTCTGGATCTGAGAGTGTTAGGTGGCCTCAAGAAGCTGAGAGGACTTAAACTTCCGTCTAACGAAATCACCCTGATAGAAGGAACACTAGAGGTGTTCCCGAGTCTATACGAACTCAATCTGAGCAAGAACAAGTTGACAAGCGTCACTCCGCGAACGTTCGGTGACGCCGCGAAACGTCTCGGGTACGTTGACCTAAGTCAGAACCCTTTCGACTGCGACTGTGGCGGGCTTCCGTTGAACAGTCTGTGCGACTGTTCTGTTCACCTGTTTAACTGCACCTGTAACATCCTGTGGCTGAAAGAACAGGTGAAACAGAAGCCGAGTGCCTGGGTAGGAGTCCGCTGTCAAGATAAGGATATACAAACTGTAGATATCCAAGACTATTGGTGCAGATACAAATGGCGTTACCTGTTGCCAATTATTTTAGCCTGTGTAGTGATTGCAATACCATCCATCGTATGCGTATACAAGTTACGTTACAAGTTATGTTACAAGTGTAAGAAAAGGAACAGGTACGCCCTTCTGGGCACAGACATGGTTACCGAGAGACAGTTGAACGAATTGGCTGTAAAGCTTGGAATGGAATGGGAGAGTTTGGCAACTCACCTAGGTTTCACAAGGGCTGAATTAGAGGCGTTTATCAGAGATAACGACAGGAACATGAGGGGACAAATACGTGCCATGCTCATTGCTTGGAAGTACAAAAATGGCGAACAAGCTACTGTTGCTACTTTAGTCGAACAGCTGAAGAGTTTTGATCCTCCCCTTGATCCAGATATATATGTATTCCCGGAAGTGTCCTCGCCAAGCCCCTAAATAAGTGTATCCACGTGTAAAGTATGCTTTTCCTTTTTTTGTATACACAAAATGTACAGTTGTAATGTCCTGTAGTAAAAGAGCAGTTACTTAATACATATTTGGTGTGTGTTGCAGTGTAGAAGTTCCAAGCTTATTTCAGAGACTTTCCTCGTTGTTGTGCTTTGTACATGCAGTGGTATTTGTAATGAAATACAATGGTTTAAAGACTATCGGACGGTGTACATGTGGTGTTTTTACATTTTTATATAGAATAGAACATATACTTCTTATATTAAAATCAGGACATATTTATATTTCTTATTACATTATATGTACAACGTCGGTGCCATTTATGGACCTGATAATAAAGTACACGAACTATAACATTTAATGTGACACAAGAAATATAAAATCTATAACATTTTTGCCGTATTAGCCCTTCTCTGAATAAGGCATTAATCTATATAAAAGACATATCCTATTGTCCACTGGAGTCACACAATTTAAATTCACTCTCTTTAAAATTCAGGAAGGTACGCCATATAGTTTCTGCTGTCGTAGTGTTAACAATGTAACTGTATAGTGTATTCTAACAGCTGTGCAACATTGTGTGATACATTTTTTCTGTACATTTCCTGTTTGGAATCAATCTTGGATTTTGTTTTTTGTCCATCTTGAAAGTTAAAAACTAAAAAAAGTGATGATTACTAGTACTTCAAATTGAATATTTCTTTTCAACCAGTGTTTCTAAGTCTTCCATAACAGGCTGTTGGCGACGCGAACATTTGTTTTTGTAAAATTCGTGCATTTTTACACCGACTACAACAATCACAATCACAGCTCCAGCAGTGCCTAGGGCTATGTTAAATGACATTTTATCTGTCCTATACTTATCCGGTTCCCTCAGCAAGGGTTGACTCATCATTGTCTTAAGTTTGTACATTACCATCAACTTGACTGCCTAGTTTCGACTTATGAAGGTAGACTGCAAAACTTCATTCTCACTCACAAGACATTAGAAAGAAACATCGGTGTCATTCACCAAGTACTGAAATGTAAAACTAGTAGCTCTATTGACAGACCTCACTCTGTCAACTTGAGGGAACCGTGTTTTGTGTACACAACAATTGTTCACCTGACAGTGGAGAAGGGGTCTTTGACAGCCACGGTAGTGGAGACAAATGGTTGGTGGTTGCCTGGGGCAAAGTGCCGTGACCCATACAAGACCTTTCGTTCTAAAGATTGCAGCTCAGTGCAGTTGCAGGGCCTTTCGCTTCAGTTCTTAAGACGTTTTCAGCTGATTTGATCCAACAAAAGGGCTAAGACATCAAGATGGGTAAATACAGGGAAGACGGGAATTACAGGAACGTAACGCGACGTGACGACAAAAGATGTTTACAGCTAGTTCTGGCTGGCACTGTGTGTCTGGTTGTGTGTTCCCTCCTTATGAACGTTCTTATTTACGTTCACTTGACGGCGGCCATTGCAGAACAAACGGCGACCATTACAGACCAGACGGCGGCCATTGCAGACCAGACGGCGACCATTGCGGACCAGACGGCGGCCATTGCAGACCAGACGGCGACCATTGCGGACCTGTCGCGCAGACTCGGGGACGTCGAGGGGAGGCAGGATTTACACCGATCTACAGCCGATCTTAACCGGCAAACCGCTAGAGTCACGGATGTCGAGACCGGGGAAAGCAACATACAACACATCGGCCGGAATCAGGTTAGACTGTCAGTAAATACAGGCCATCTCAGTTCCATTGAAAAGTTCTTTATTTGGCCTTGCAACAAAACTTTTAAGGTATGCAAACGTGGGGCCGGTGTGACAGAGATCTCGCACCCCCAGTGATTTCGCACCCCCCGGAGCGAAATCACTAGCGATCTCGCACCCCCCGGAACGATATCACCAGTGATCTCGCACCCCTTTGGTGATCTTGCACCCCCCCTCAATCGTTTTGTTCACCCCGTATGTGTTCTGTTACGGCCTTCGTAATTCACAGTGGTTACTATATCCGATGCTACCTATTAACAAACACTATCCTCTAGTATGACAATACCAATATTCAGTAATTACCTTCGCCAAGAAGGTTATGTTTTCGTGGCGGTGTGTCTGTTTGTCTGTCTGTCTGTCTGTTTGTCTGCCTGTTACTACCATAACTCAAGAACGCTTGAATATATTGTCTTGATACTTGGTAGGTGGGTTGGTCTTGATGAGACCTCGAAATGATTAGATTTTGGGCCCCTTAGCGGCTTGTTATGGTACTGCAGCTGAACTTCCGGTTTTGATATCTCGTGATCTGAACATGCTAGGGTCATGAATTTTGCATGATTACCAAATAAATGTGTGGTGCTAAGCAGAGAAATATTGGTCATGTCTTAAAAATGATTTTTAAAAAATCAATAATGAAGAATGACATAACGTTGAATTAATCACACATTCTTCTTGTAACTAAGGGACAGTCCAGGGAAACTTGTAAAACTCTCGATTACAACATTAAAGTATGGTTTTATCACACTAAAATGCAGTTTTAACTATATACCGGGCAGACAGAACAATTTTCAAAATGTTTGGCGGGGGGGTGCGAGATCACCGGGGGGTGCGAAAACACTAGTTTGGGGGGTGCGAAAACACTAGCTTGGGGGGGTGCGAGATCGCTAGCGATTTCGCCCCGGGGGGTTCGAGATCGCTAGTGATCTCGTCCCGGGGGGGGTGCAAAATCAGGGGGTGCGAGATCTCCGTCACACCGGCTTATTGACCAAATAGTGGAACTCCTTTTATTTCCTCATATACGTATACGTTATTTTGCCATTAATAAGAACCCAGGTTTATTACGGTACATAAACTTTGTAGGTGTATCACATTTATCTATCAAATGTGAACTGTGTACCTGCCACGATTTATTTCTAACAACATTTTTGGTCACTTCCAGTCACAGACTCATTTCCCAAGACAGTCCCATCAAAGTGCATCAGTGAAAAGGAGGGATGGTAAGTTTTAAATCGTTTTGGGAGCCTACGTTTAGTGGTATCTCAATTAATGCCTAGTAGTACATTCACTGCATAGACATAGGCTGCGGAATAGATTTACTTATCATGCTAGGATTAACTGTATTTTTTCCTGATTTCAAGCACGATCGACATGTGGACGACGCGAGTACCAATGCCGTGATGGCCGCTGCGTTTCCATCTATAAGGTGTGCAATGGCCGTGAAGACTGCCCTGACGGCTCGGACGAACTTCCGTTGAATTCAAACTGCTGTAAGTACTTCTTGACGACTAGATTACTTGCTGTCATCAACGCCTCGAATAACATTTATCACTTTCTAACAGATTAGTTCTGATTAGTTTCATTCAGAATCGAGTGTCATGGATTGCTATCCATGTAGAGATCTTTCACGACATAATTTTTTCAAGCCTAGTTATTCATGTCAGATTTATAGGTATCGTATTAACTATAATCTGTGCATTGAACAAGTTGCGACATCTCGATTTTCAATGACACTCTATAAACATGTCTTGCTTCACTTGCAGATCTGAATGCCAGGCTTGTTGGCGGAAAGACGAGTAACGAAGGCCGGCTGGAGGTGCAGATGTGGACAGGTGAATGGGGGGCCGTCTGTACCGATTACTGGGACATAAAGGATGCTGATGTCGCGTGTAGACAGCTGGGGTACAGAGGAGCAGTTCGCGGTACGGAAGACAGATTCTTTGGAGAAGGGGAGGGGGAGATCTTGATATCTGTACTCAGCTGTACAGGGACCGAGTCCAACCTGGGAGAATGTAGACATCGTGGATGGGGAGTCCACAACTGTGAGCGTGACGAGAACGTGGGCGTCGTTTGTGCAGGTGGATAGAAACTACTTTTATATCTCATTCCATCCCATGCCATGGTATAGATAGAATATATTGTTTTCTCTGACTCTGGTGTCTCCTGTCCTTCTCCCCCCTCCTTCTTATCTCCCTCTCTATCATTCAGTCAAAATGATTAGATTCTTATTTTTTGGGCAAACCTGACATTTAGTGGGGAAGTAGAGTGAGCAAATACTCCTAGGCGTTTATTTCCAAATAAGCTTTTCAAACTTTTCAAATTCAAAGGTAAGGTAAGATCGTTTGCTAAAAAAATGAACGTTTTACCCTTTGGAAAACAGGTTCATAGGAATGTATATGTCACTGGAATAATCCAGGGCTATCTGGAACTCTTCTAGGGGACCTGTCAGGTCCAGGTCACTAATCTTATTGGTTTGGATGAATAAGATTGTCCTAGGACAGATTAGAATGGAAGTAGGTTTGGCTTCGTCCTAAAACAGATTGCAGTTGCAAAAGTAGAATTTGAAGTCGTCCATGGACAAATCCTGATTCTAACCTGTCCAAGGACAAACTGTGTTGGTTCAAACCAATAAGATCAGTGACCTGGACCAGACAGCTGTCACCTTAATTAACATATGTATTGACAGGGCCATTTTCTATCTAAAATATGAAGTGATTCACCTAGAATATTAATGATAAAATTGTGTAGGTTTAATCTATGCTAAATGATTGACTGAAATGATTTGGTCTATCAATGTATTGGTTGTAGTTCTGATAGAATTCCCATATGTCCTAGAGAAGACTGGAATTCCAGTCTGTCCTAGGACAATTTGAGATTCTGCTAGGAGACATTGGAATTCCAATATTAAGATGTCCATTCCTTGGACAATTCCAATTTCCCCTAGGGGAGATAGGAATTCCAGTCTCCCCTAGGAGAATCTGTAATTGTCCCAGGAGAGATTAGAATTCCAGTCTCCCCTAGGGCAAACTAGAATGGACCGTTCCAGATCGAACGCATCGAATCCTATTTCGAATCCCTGTTCTATTTCGAACACCTCCGTCAAACTCAGCGCGGGAAATCTAAAACCAGCAAACTGAGTTGATGTCTGCTTGATAAAAACTGCTCGTTTTACATGTGAAACTGAATTTGTGACATTGCATGCACTTTCAAGTTGATTAAGGACGTTCTGTTATTCTTCCATTTGTTCTTAAGCTATCATAATTATTGTTCATGTCCGTGTTTGCGTGCTTATTTTTCTACTTGTACCACAAATCCCTTTGTAAATTGCGCCCTCCCTCGTGAGTCCCCGTGAGTTTTTATTTCCCATTTCGTGTTTTTCCCGAGCTTGTATGCAGCTGTGATGCATGCAGCAAATGCCGTGGAAAACCTGTTACAGATAAACGTACTCTGTTTC